AACTAGTCAGGGGGGATCAGCAGGCATTGGGGGAGTCCCTGTTCCCCCAAGCGCTACCAGGAGTGACTAGAAATAACAGTCACAAGCTGGCAGAGGGTAAATTCAGACTAGACATCAGGAGGCGCTACTTCACTGTCAGGGTGGCTAGGATCTGGAGCCAACTTCCAAGCAAAGTGGTGCTGGCTCCTACTCTGGGGGTCTTTAAGAGAGGGCTGGATGAACACCTTGCTGGGGGCATTTGACCTCAGTACTCTTTCCTGCCATGGCAGGAGGTCAGACTTGATGATCTGCTCAGGTCCCTTCCGACCCTACTAACTATGAAACTATAAAACAGCAGGCTAGGATGAGGATGCTCTCCCACCCCTTCTATTGAAACTGAGCCACTATGCAGCAAGAAATGCAAGATTCATGGGGTCAGGAAGAGATAGTCTGCAAGAGGGAGCCTGGCTACAAACCCAGACGTTTAAAAGCTCACCCAAGATGTAATAGTTCTGGGTACCAATCCATTTTTTATTCACTGACTATTTAATAGAAAGAAAAAAAAAAAAAAAACAATCCAGGGAGTAGGGATGAGAACCTAGAACTCCTCCCTCTTCAGTTTGTGCCCTGACTATTCGACTTTCACAGGTGGGGTGCCGGGCATCTAAAAATTCTGGTTATCTGAGGCAGGGGTTTTCAACCCATTTGAAAACCCCTGCGGAGCTGTGGAGGGGAGGCAGGGGGAGCAGCAGCACACAGAGTGGGGGTGGACGGGGGGGGTGGCAGCAATTGCATGAAGAACAGCAGCAATGCAGGGCGGTGTGAGCTCCCCCTGCTACACCACATCTGGCCAGCCAGCCAGAAATTCTGGTTAATAGACTATTCCAGATAGTAGAATGCCAGTTAACACAGCTTTTACTGTACATCTACCTTGGTTAGTCTATAAGGTGCGGCTCTACTAGGTTATAGTCAGGTTCCATTTTTGCTTCCTTTACCTGGCCCCATATATCATCTATTCTTTGCTGCACAGTGGAAAAGCATGAGTGGGAGGGGTGAAGACTGCCATTTTCCTACCGTATTTGCCTGTAATCAGGCAATTAAGGCCCTTACTTGGAAGATGAGAGATACGGGTTTGAATTTCTTCAGACTAAGGAGGGCACTGACCTCCCAAATTCCTGGGCATGTGGTGTAACCACTAACTGTTACATAAGGTGGATGTGGTGGCAGTGGTGGCATAACCACTAGCCACATTTTGAAAGAAAAAAACATTTATCTCCTATGTGGAACAGTTGTAGGGGTCTCCAGGCTCAGGATAATGAATGGAGGAGACACACTCTCTAGTCCCAATTCAGGCACCTGAGATAGAGTGGGAGTTAAAATACAAACCTGAGCAGAGCACTGGCTAGCTCTGAGGCAGCCCCTTTCTTTACATGCAGATTTTTTGGATCACCCTTCCCAAATACCTACCACATTGTCTTGCATATCATACCCTCCCAAATAAAACACACACCTTGTTTTTAGAAGACAGAGGGTGCATCTACACAAGACACTTTACTGCAGCGTTGACTAATTAGCTCCTCAGTAAAATGTCACTGTCTACATGTGCGCCTCTATTAGGTCAGAGTAAACTAATTAACTCCATCATAGGATAGTACTGCCTGACACAACTATGGCAGACATATTTACTGTGCCGCAACACACCTGTAGATGGTGACCTGGGCTAGCTGAGCATGAGGGTCTTACAGTGTGGGGGCTGCCTGCCAATTAACCCCGCACTGTAGCACCCTTATGCCCCAGCCAGCCCTGTGATATTAATGCAATGCATTGGTCCCAGTTGCAGCATTTTTCTGTGTGCCCTCAAAATGCTGCAGTCCTGGGCACACAGGTAAAAGCTGTGCCCAGGAACAATAAACTCTAGTGCGAACTGCATCAGTGTTTATTGCATTGCATTCATATCACATGTAGATGCACCCAGAATGTAGAAAAAAAGATTATTCCAGAACTATAAGTGCAAGATCTGACCACATGCAGTAGCTTACTTGCCCTCATCCAGCTAGCTAGCCACTTCAGGCAAAAGCTACAGTGTTACCTCTTCCCAACTGCTGCTGAATTCACCGTGGTTTTTGGCTGCTCAGTCAAAAGCTACTGCCAATTTGGCAGTAATTATGAGAGGGTTAAAGCTGGACTCTACCCTTGATGCTTGCTAGCCTGGAGAGAAGTGTTACATACAGTGTCTTCTATGCTTTTATTCTGGTAAAGAAAACCAGCTTATGATACATTAACCAAACATTTTCCAAGTGGAAGGAACTTGAATGTGTCAGAAAATGAAGAAATACTTCTTGTTTATGATTTATGTTATATATTCATTATTTGATTCCATGAGTACTGATGCTCCTTAATAGCTAAGGGTAGGAAAGACTGAAGAAAAGTAATCTATTAGGAATCATTTGCCAAAGGAATAATGCTTAACCCAAAACTTAGTCAAAATTCATTGTGTTCAAAACATTGCTTTCATTAAACAAGAGAAACACACCAGAAAACCAAGATTCTTCTGTAGTTTCAACAAGGTATAGAAACAGAGAACTGGAAGGGATTTCTCATGCCATCAACTCCAATCCCCTGCATTTACAAGGAAACTTTTATTCAAAAGGATTTGCAAGAAGAGTTACTTTGCCCCCCTTTGTAAACTGTGGCCATAAATCTATAAAAATATAACATTGCAAGATTATAAAAATCTACAGTGTGGCACAGGAAGAGAGAAGGAGATAGAATGAAATTTGATAGATAAAATATTCTCAGCGAATCCTAGGAAGTGGACCATGCTCTGTGTAATAGAGATAAGCAAAATTTCACACTGGTCCTCCAAGTCTCACCTAAGGGAAATTTTGTTTCCTGACAAACACTAGGTTTTCTTTTGACCCAACATGCACGAGACCCACCAGCCAGAGACTACCCAAGACGTACTTCACTACCACCAGATCATTGTACCTAATCTTTTACCTCCAGCTTGGCCAGTGTCCAATACTTCAAAAGAAAATAAGGAGCCAGGCACAGAAGCTAGAGCATGCATTAA